AAAAAGTAAAAAATTGCAACAAAAATGACGAAACTTGTACAAACATTTATTAAAATCTCTAAACACATAAATATTGTATACAACACATTATTATATTGTATAGTTATCTCAATAGAATACCTATTTATTTATCAGTGATTAAGATAACGTCAGTCGTCTTAATCTTGGCCGTTGACCTTTCACAATTAATCATTCAAGATAAACGAACGAGTATTAACTATTTGTCGAAATACTTAAATAATTATTATGTTTGAACTACATATCGAGATATAGCATGTCGAAATTTCTTTTAATAAACTCAAATTTCTTTTAACCAACTTCAAAAAAATTGTTAGTTTGTCCTGTAAGTTATGGGCGCGATTATTTCGCGATCGCTGAACCGACTACCTCGTTGGCCGAGTGGTCGCAATTGCGACTGCCGGGCAAGGGGTTTCGGGTTCAATTCCCTGATAGGGCAAAATATTATTGGGCTTTTTCAAAAAATCGCAGTAATAGCACGGAGTCTGAAAATGTGCCCGGTATATGGCAATAGGCTCACCCCCTATTACATGGGACTCTTAACATAAATAATGAAGAGTGGGTGTTACCTTGTACAGTGGCATTAAGTGCCGTAAAGTACACCTCACGAAACATCATGCTTTTTATTCTCGACGAAGTAGGCAGAGGTGCACATTACGATACTTAATGCCACTGCACAATGTAACCCACTAATCACTATTTATGTTATGAGTGCCATGTAATAGGGGGTGAGCCAATTGCCATATACGAAGCACATTACCAGACTCCGTGCTACTGCTGAAAAACCCAGTAATACTTTGCCCGACCCGGGAATCAAACCCGAGACCCCTTGCCGCACTTGCTAGCACTCGGCCAATGAGGCAGATAGATGTTATATTATATAAATGTTAAGATTTCTATCTTACGCAATTAATAGTAAAAGTAGATCTGAAGATTATGTTTCTAATCTTAAAGCAACTCAGCTATTTCAAAGTCTTTTAAAAATTAGGTAAATAAGTACTAGAATCTTAAAAATATCAATCAATGGGACTTGATACAGAGATAATTTTGATCTCATTCTATATTTGCTTAGTTGAAGATTTTATGAATGAGTGTAACCTTTCACCAAAGGTGGGAGAAAGTGAATGCACAGACGTCAGTTGTCGACTGACCACAGTCAACAAATAGCTTACCTTATAAAGTTATTTTTTTATGAGTTTCGTTTGAAATTTGGGAATGTGTGAGTTTATTTGCATAAATAGGGTTTTACAATTTCGGATAACTTGTTATTGAAATTGTTCTCGATCTATTTGTTTGTGTATCAAACAGATTTAGATATCAATTATTATCTATGATTTATTTTAATTGTATTAAAAGTGGAAGATACAGTATTTTTTCGATTCGTGATCCAAGTGGATTAACTTTAGATTATGTGGTCATTTAACTAAATCGTTAAGTAGGTAATAAAATTTTATTTAAAGTACCAGAAGTTTAGTTATATGTGATGTGTGTGAAACTTGAAACAAATGTAAATACAGGTATGTTTTGTATCTACTACTTAAATAAACTTTTAAGTACACTGTTTTGCCTGTCAATGAGAAAACGCCTACACTCGTAGAACCTAACGGGTTACCGGGGCTCCGGCTCGACGTGCAGGAGAAGGAACGGGGTGGTTTTTAGTCAGTAAGAGTCTGACACTCCCTCCCGCCTCACCCAGGCGGGAGCAGTCATTCAATGATTTTTCCCCCTTAAAAAAGACACAATTTTTGACTCGATGTTTGTTTGTTCAGCAACCACCACGCGTGTCGTCCTTCTACATACGATTAGCATTGTGGCTCAGCATACGATGGGTTAATCGATCAGTTATGTATGAAAATAATCATCTCAACTTCATTCGAAATTTCTTAAAGTTACCTTTTTATTTAACTAAAGTACTGATAATTTTACCAGCCTATATGCTAGACCTACTCGATCATCGAAGTAATTACATTTAAAAAAACACTACAAGCGAATAATTCGCCGGTCCGATATAACGATGTCGGTGTTTCATAACAAAATATTGAGGGCAAGCCGGTCCACTTCACTATCTAACTAAAACTACTAGTACAATGCGAAATATAAAACAATACTTAACACAATCACACCCGTTTTGTTTATAAACATATTAATAAAGATCCGGGTATGTAAAACCCGGTAGATTATGTAATTGGTATCTTTTGTATAAAGAGTCTTATGAATTATATCAGAACTCTGAACGCACTATAACCAAAACAGTGAAATTATCTACTACTATCGTACGCAATACTTTATAGGTAATTTAAGAAATATTACAAATGTTTATAATTAATATTTTATTTACTAATGAGTGGTAACCACGGACCGAAAGGCGAAGCGTGGGCAGGCCTCCCGCTAGGTGGACCGACGACATCGCCAGAGTTGCGGGGAGCCAGTGGATGCGGATGGCGAGTTGTCGTTCAACGTGAAGGACTAAGGGGGAGGCCTTTGTCCAGCAGCGGACGTCTTCCGGCTGTTGTTGATGACGATGATGATGATGATGTACTAATAAATAATAGTTCTGTACCTACTACGCTGCAGAAGTGGTTGCTCCACAAAAGTTGTTATTCGATAGACGATTTTTTACTTAAGGCTTTGACTGCCAATATAAAACTGTTAAAGATAATTTTCCGCTAACGTCGCGTCGGTTACAAATGGCGTTTAATGTGTTAAATATCCATGTAAATTTTATTCACACAAAAGAACATTAAAATATTAATAAAATGATTAAAATTATGACTCTGGATAATATAACTAGGTACCGATATAGAAGACTAAATATATTTATGATATTATGACATTAAATAATTATTTTATGACATTAAACATTTAAATTTATGACATGAGCAAACATTATATTAAATATTTACATGCCTGACCTGGTGAAATCCGAAGATCTCAGAAATATTGTATTATATTATACGTAATGTACCACTTTTCAAGCAAATAAAATTTGATTTGATAAAGCCGAAATAATGCTAAGATTTACCCGCGAATATGAAGAGGTAACTATTAAACTTATTAATTATATTTTGGTTATCTCGAGGTAGGTATGAAGCACTCGCCAGTACCTACAGTCGCAATTATTATTAATGAAATTGCGATTAAATTAATTAAGATAATGGCCTACTTATAATGACAAATACTTATTAACCGCTAAATGTGTTGCTAGCTGTAAAACTTGAAAACGAAATAAAGAAGGAGGTTCTCATTTTGATCGGTATGTATGTCTGTTCGCGTTTATCTCCCGATTGGCTGTATCAATATTGATGCGGTGTTCAGAAAAGTGTTAGTCTTAGGAACAGGTTTAAATATTAGCGTTAGTGAACCGACTGCCTCGTTGGCCGAGTGGTCGCAAGTGGCAAGGGGAGCGGAGAATGTATCACCAGGTTTTTAAAAATTGTCAGTAATAGCACGGAGTCTGGAATTGTGCCCGGTATATGGCAATAGGCTCACCCCCAATTACATGGGACTCATAGCATAAATAGTGAAAAGTGGGTGTTACATTGTACAATGGCATAATGTGCACCTCTGCCTACCCCTTTGGGGATAAAAGGCGTGATGATGTTATGTATGAACCGACTGTCCTTTTTTTAATTTGGTTTATTGAAAATTATTTATTTTATAGAGAAATGCAAGAAAACATTTTCAAACATAGATAGAAGACATCTGTTTCGCTAACAAATACCTACCTACGTAAATGAGAAAATCATACACATAACAATATTGTTTACGCTTCTAATTGTTTTCAATTCACTTCGTTGTTATCAACGATAGTTTAGAGACAACTCAACGAACCGAATCACATGTAGTATATATATATAAATAATGTAATATAGTTACTATAATGTGCACTTAGGACCCTGCATGCACTTAATATTAAACAAGTGATTATCCGAATCAGTGACGCTAGATTTAAAGTTCCAATGATATTTAAAGGACTTTATATACTTACTTTGGCCATTAATATAATGAAATTAACGAAATTTCTCCTATTTCTTTCATGTAGTTAAATAATACTTATTGATTTAAACTTTGTATAGTAATGAGATTTTAAAGTTTTATCAACATAATCAACAACAGCCTATTTTCGTCCACTACTGGAATGGCACGCCACTGAGCTCGATCTTCAGCTCTACGCTTCCAACCACTACCAGCCACTTTACGTATATCGTCACTCCACCTAGCTAGAGGGCGCCCTACACTACTTTTGCCTAGACGCGGTCTCCACTCCAGAACACGTCTACCCCAACGGTCATCGGTTTTTCGACAAATGCCATTTCAGCTTGCTAATCCTTTGGGCTACATCGATAATTTAGTTCTCTGTCAGATCACGAATCCTATTCTTCAGAGAGACTCCAAGCATAGCCCTCTCCATAGCTCGCTGCGCCACCTTAAATTGGTGGACCAGTTGCACTGTTAGTGACCACGTCTCGGCTCCGTATGTCATTATTGGTAGGACGCACTCGTTGAAGACTTTTGTCTTCAGGCCTTTTATCAAAATAATGTGGCACTGTTATTAAGTCCCTAAATATAATGTTACTGAAAGACAGTTCAGTATCATGCATATTCTGTATCTGTAGTTTAAAGGTAAAGGTACTCTATATTACTCTTAAACCTCACAACTATATCCAGACTCAACAACTATACCACAAAAATAAAAACGTTTTTTTGCAACGTGAAAGAAAAACAAAAAGCCTTTCCCATTCAGAATACTTATAAAGAATCAATATACTATCTTAACTAAATTCATTTTGTAATTATTAATAGTTCCTCTTAATCTGAACTGAGCACAAATCACCGCCACTATATAACTGTGCTATCATTAAGAATAACCCTATGTGTAATTACGTTATCTCGTACAAAATTACGTCAGAAAATAATATAAATAGAGTACAAACGTATAATTGATGAATCTATCTTATTCAGCCAGCAGTCTTCGTAAGAATATGATCTCAAAGCGCAGAGGCGTGCGCGCGCGCCTCGCGGATGAGTTCTACACGTATTGTGCGTTTTGGGTCGCTGTGTCTACTCTACCTGTGCTTGCCGTTTCATACATTGGTAAGTTGCCTATTGTAGCCTTCAAATATGTATTAATTTAACCCGACAATAAAGTGAATAATTGAAACGTAAAGACTAACCACCTCATTCGACGCTGAACGACTATATTGCCCTTATCGTTTTGAACTTCGTGCAACTAAGTACTGTGAATTTCAAACATTAATAAACTAAACAGGAGAATCGAAATCAGATATCCATTGCTCATTAGTAAAGTTTACATAAACTTATAGTGACACGAATGTGACGATTAACTTAATTAATTGTAAACACGACAACAAATAACGTTTCCTTTGATATTACAACAAAAAGAAATTAGTGTATGTATTCAAATATATTTATTTCGATTCCAGTCGTACGAGTAAGCAAATACCTCTGGCTGAAGCTACTGTCCAGCAGGTATCCACACCTAGAATTCATATGGACAGACACAGTGCGCACTCTACTCGATACTCACAGAAACCAGGGAATCATCAATGTTTTACTCTCTGTAAAAGGTATGTTACTTAAAACATTTTATTAACCATCTATTGCAAAGTGCAATTTATATTGTAACAACTTTTATAATAAGTAGGTTTATTCATAACTTCAACAGATTTGCTCAACATAATTAAAACAATAAAATGTAACCACTTTAAACTAATCATAATGAATCGAAATGTTCCTATGCACATTTGCATTGAGAAAACCAAAACAGAAGCAGAAACTTAGATTCTACTGCTTCTGCATAGTAAACTGAAAAGCATACCCCAATATCAACCGATTTAGAAGATATTAGGAAGGCCTTACGTTTAGCAGGGGTCTATTCCAATTATAATGATACCTCTAAACTCTAATAATCTTTTCCACTCCAGGCACATTAGATCCAGAACAAATAAAGAATCATCTAACTGACCATGTAATCAACAAACGGGATAAGAATGATGGCCTCATGTTCCCGAGACTGCGGCATCAGCTGGTATCAAGATGGGGGAACTATGCGTGGAACCCCAGCGTGGTATTCAGGCCTGAGAACCACTTCATTGTGGCCAGCGCCGTCTATCGGGGGCGACAAGTCGGCGAGCATAATATTCAGGTATACTAACTACAACTTAAAACAAGGCCTATTAATACGTGTTTGATGCAAGACAGTGGCGATCAGTAAATAATAAGTTCAAATGGATACAAACTATAGGGTTAAAAATGAATTCTTCCATCGCGATTGGCTATAAATTCAATGTAAAGAACCAAAATGCTTTATATCAGCTTTTCGTAGGTCAATGTATAACTAATCATAAACCGATTCCATTTCCAGGAATACGTGAGTGATATTGTATCAAAATACTTCGCAAGCGATCAATCTCCGTGGCAGTACATCGTCATCCCGTGCGTGTCTGCAGAACCGAAGTACTACATTCTAGTCCGCGTACATCACCTCCTACTCTCAGGGAAGAAGTCTCTGAACATCGGAGACTTGCTCCTCATGGAACAGATCAACCCTTCCGACAGAATCATTGTATCACCGGCAGAGTACACACAACAGAGTCCATTAACACAACTGTCCCCCTCACCATCAGCTATTCCTGAGCTATGGGGCAAAGTCAATGAGAACCTATCGAATGCCTGGAATGAGTTCGTATCAGAATACGACCCAGTAGAAAGTCCAAGAGCCCTAAAAACTCTACCTGGAGCATTCCACGTGGCAGGTCTAGTTCTAATAGCAACTGTGAGTGCATTGAGAGAACTTAACAAGAAGTCTAATGGCAGAGATACGTCTTCAGAAGCTCCTGTCACTGCACTGACACTTTTAGCGGCAATCCAAAGAGAATGCAACAGGAGGAATTTAACTATACCAAAGGTAAGACACTTTTTTATGAAATAGTCTAGCAAGCTTGTAAAAATCTAAAGATAGTTACTTAAAATCATCTCATTTACAGATAATCATATCACCACTAATAACAGCGGACCCTAGAAAATGGCCGGGAATGGCAATCGGTGCAATTTTCACATCAATGCGTCAGTTCTTTGTACTGCCGCTTCGCGTTCGCAACGAACTGATTGCTTTGAACGAGTTACGAAGTTGTGGTCATGCGAGACAACCAGACACCCTGACGTGGAAGTATGCAGAGCTGGCGCAGCTGTGCGTGGCTGCTGTTAGCGAGGCTTGCCAAGGAGTACTCGAAGTATATCGTGCTCCCGCCAGACTTTGGACTGATACGATCGGAGCTGACGATGGGAACCGACATGTGCTGCAGACCGTGTCTTTGTGCGGGAGAAAGGTAATTTATACGTAACTTTTGAATTCTATGCACAAGTTTTGTAGAATAACAAAGCAATGTTCACAATGTAAATTCTACTTAAAATGCATGTTGCAAGTGTTTTACCTAGTGGAAAACGGTACAAATCTATAAGGACATCACTATGCTATCAATAATAGGCAAAATATTCAAAATATGTACCTTTCTTCATACATAGGCATAGAATACAGTTACTTAATAAGTCACTTTCCTTGTCTTCAGGTAACAGCATGGTCTCGGCCTGTGCCTCGAGCGGGAGTGGAGCGCGCAGCTCGAGCGCTCGACGTGTCCTCAACTGACATAGCGCTGTACGCCGTCACAGAAGCATTGAGGGCTTTCTTCGACAACTCACAGTCACACGCACCTGAGTCTGTTCTCACAACCGCACGAGCAGCACATGAGGACTTCCTCTACACCTTCGCCGAAGGACACGGAAAGAGTTATAAGAAGTCACAAACTGGAGGTAAGTTAGTGGTGGTTTCAGCATACAATACTACAATATACTCGGTTACACAAAGACCGTAAACATGTGCCACATATTTCAATGCTAGTTATATTATTATGATGATACTGTGTCCCGATCGAAAGAAGAGCCGTTGACAGAATATCTGCACTCTTTTTATGATCTCGCATACCACTTGAAATGACAATTAATCGTAATAATTATTTTGTAAACTATATTGAAAAAAAAAACGACTTCAACTCCCTATTTTTTTGAAGTCTCAACTTTATTTATACAAAATAATAAACGTGAGATAGTGGCGCACAAACATACATTCATACAATACACACATGTCAAACTGAGAACTTCTTTTTTGTGAAGTTGGTTAAAATACCCTACAGTTGACACAATGCCATATTTTATACACAATGAAAATGATTAAATCATTATTTAATTATAAAAAATATGGGTTCATTAACCCAAAAATATTTAGCATGAATTAAAATATCAAAATTAAGTCCGTACTTAATATTTTCTTTTAATCCATGTCTCCAGTCCATCTGTTTAGGGAATTCATCATCATCGTCATCAACATATCAGCCACACGACGTCCACCGCTGACCATAGGCCTACCACAGTTAGGTTAGTTAGGAAATTAACTATTTGCACAACTTTTATATGAAAAATGTCCCAAAGAAGTTTTAAAGACAATATGTTAAAGTTACTTTCCAAATCCAAATAACTTTAATTTGTGCAATGCATTTTCATGTTATGCCAAGATTTACCTTGAGTTAACTACTTAAGCTGACAGAATATAACTACTGACAATAATTTTACGCAGGTATGGTATGTCTGTCACTGACGCCGGGTGCGTCACCGCGTCGTGTGAGTGCTGTAGTGCGGCGCGCATGCGAGCGACAACGCGCGCTTGCAGCTGGTTGGGCGGCGCAAGCGCGGTTTGGAGCGTTGACGCGCGCAATACCATCTCCACTCGCACGTCTGATACTTAACCTAGTGTCACGACGTTATGCGCTCTCTTACGCCGAGATTGACGCGCCGCCACACACGCCTCCACGACATACGCTGTGGGGACAAGAGGTCGATGCCGTCGTGTATTGGAGGCCTCCTCAAGCGAATATAAGTAAGTTACAGCTGATAAATGAGACTTGTGCCAACTCTAGCAGCTATAAATGAGTTGTTATTACTACAACTAGATTTTAGTGACATCCTTTAAATATGAATATTTATAATTCCAGGTATGTCGCTAACCGTGATTCAGTACGCGGACACCGTACGTCTAGCAGTAATGGCGGACGCACGGCTGGTGCCGTCTCACATCATTCCGGCCACTCGCTGGCCTACCGCTATCGAACAGCTAGTCGCTAAGATCGACCAGGAAATCGCCAAGATCACTGCTAGAGCGCACCTTGCCGCTGGAACTGTACCACGGATTATTACCCCAGAAGAGGTACCAAGTACTAGCGCGGAGAGTCAAGAAGATACCGAAGATGCAGAAGACTCTGGAGATACTTTACGACCTCCACCGACTACGGCAGTGAGCCCACCTCCCATGCGCCGACGTATAGCCAACTAGTTCAATCACTAGCTTCTAGCTAAGCGAAGTAAATTCAAAACAGTCAAGTGGCTCTGCCACACCGGGGGCAGGAATTTACCAAGTTACCGACACGAGATTGAAGTGGAAAGTGGACGTACAGACTCATCATATAAACGATGAGATGACTGCTAGTTATATACAACGTGATAAATTGTGTGTTTATCTATATTATTATGTTGACATTCGAGAGTACCTAATTACATAAGTCGTTATTATATCTGATGTTATGAAACTGTGATCATGTCAATGTCAATTGTTAGTTAATTATGAAATTTATTATTGTTTTTAATAAAAGTGGAAAATATTTTCGTTTTTATTTCAGTCGTGCTAGGCACACAGAGACGATATTCGAAATGTTTTGTTATTCAGTACCCATTAGTTAAAATCTTTAATACGTAATACGGTTTGCTACTTCAATAGAATTGCATGTCTATTTTCTCACACCCATTAAACATCAATTACAAGGCCGATCATAATTAGTACTGTAGAATAAAACTTCAAAGGCAACAAGACGTGTAGAATACTTTATTAACGTATTTAACATGTTACTTCATAACCTTAATGACTATAATAATAAATAATTGTAACAATTTGCAGAAAATATCTATCAATTCTCTCTTGCGTGGTGAATTTCTTTTTAACACAACAATAAAATTCAAAGATCGTAGTTCATAACTTCGGAACGAACTGTAGCACTCGTAGCATTGCGTAGTCAAGTTACGCAATACTACGAACTGTGGCTACATATGCTACACCTGCGTAGTAGCACTCGTAGCGTTGCGTAGTCAGGTTACGCAATGTTACGAACTGTGGCTACATATGCTACACATGCGTAGTAGCACTCGTAGCGTTGCGTAGTCAGGTTACGCAATGTTACGAACTGTGGCTACATATGCTACACATGCGTAGTAGCAGTCGTAGCGTTGCGTAGTCAGCAGCTGTAGCCAAATGCTACTTAGCGCTTGTCTACATGTAGAATAGAAAACCAAATTATATGGGATTGACGTAAATTTTGACACTTGTCAGTGTCATCTCCATACATTTAGTTTTCTACTCTCTCTGTAGACAAGCGCTAAAGTGGCGTTTGGCTTAAGGCACAGGTTACGCGATGCTGCGAACTGTGGCTACATATGCTACACATGCGTAGTAGCACTCGTAGCGTTGCGTAGTCAGGTTACGCAATGTTACGAACTGTGGCTACATTTGCTAGACACGCAGTTACGTAGCTACGCATTGATGTTTACAATTAGTGAACAACGCAATTAAGTTTTGTAGTAGAAAATCAAATGTCTAAATGTACAAAATATAAGTAGTATTTGCATTGTAGTAAGTGCTTAATATAAATAACAATAAAGATTATAAACACTGTTTGATAAATATATAGAGGGATCTTATTTTAAAATGTGCGCAAGAAAGCGAAATATGAGAACGACGTCTTTAGAATCTGAAAACAAAAAAAAAATTAAATCATTACTGTTTTCTCATAATTATATTCTAAAGTATTAACTCGTCGAGTACCGGTTTTATAGACACAATTAAAGAACAATAGGTCGCGACCAATTGTTTGACAGATTAAGTTACCTCGCTTTTAATCGCGGATTAGCTCATCCAAATTTGGTCTATGACCTTCTTCGTACTCTCAACACTGTATACCTTATGAACTCATGCAAAATTGCACTTTGAGTTAAAGATATTAAAGTATTGTTTGTAAAGCTTACCGAAGCCATAGTCGTGACCCCTACATCGACCAAACCTCCTGCTTTCACATGGATTGGCTCCTGAACTTTTATGAGAAATATTAATACGGTCCTACGATTCTTAGTGTCCATGTACTCCCAAGGCATTTTGTATACCGCATCCTTTAATTTCTCACTCTGGAAGTGCAAAATTAAGGTATAATACATGAAAAAAAAATTATTGAGATCCTTATTTCAGTTGCTAATGTATTAAAAAAACTGCCTCATTTGTCAAATTGTCAGAAGCGGGCTTAGCAACGAATTCAGCAGCCGTTGCTGCTGAGCTAAATTCTAAGACCAAACCGGGACATTGTGGAATAAAAACTGTTTCAAGTCGATACTAACTACTAGCCAATAGAATGTACCGTAGCACGGCACGTTCCTGAGATTTTGTTATCTAAAATTGTACCTGGTGTACAATGATGTTACTACTTAGGGGAAAACGGTAAAATATAAAAAGCAATTACCATTGTGCCGATAGTTTCGAAAATAATTGACAGTAAGACCAGCTCTCCGAACATGATTATCGTTAGTGGTAAATAACGCGACAGGGCTGCAGCCGTCTGCGTTAAAAAATATAGAAATTACTTTTTAATAGAACTTTACATAGGTACAACAGCATTTACAGTTACTTCACCGAAACATGGATGATGTCCAAGAGCCAAAATACAAATACCTAGGTAAGTCTAAGATCATTTTCAGAAAAAACCTTACCATTTGAGAACACTCTAGTAAGAGTAGACAGCCAGTAATTTGATGGAAGGAGTAATATATGAAGAGCGCCATTCCAAATGCATCTGACATATTATTTGTAAAGCTGAAATATGATTAAGAAATAAAATATTAACATTCGTTCAAATCCTGGTTAAGACTCAGGCCAGTATTATAGAACGATAGTGCAACTGAGATCTCTTCTCAAGTGTTGTTAAAAAGGGATGCATATATTCAACAAATATGTGCATCCTGCCTCGTTGACCAAGTGGTCGCAAGTGCGACTCGGCAAGGGGTCTCGGGTTCGATTCCCGGGTCGAGCAAAGTATTACCGAGTTTTTTAAAAATTCTCAGTAGTAGCACGGAGACAGGAATTGTGCCCGGTATATGGCAATAAGCTCACCCCCTATTACATGGGACACATAACATAACATAAATAGTGAAAAGTGGGTGTAACATTGTACAGTGGCATAATGTGCACCTCTGCCTACCTCTTCGGGGATAAAAGGCGTGATGTTATGTTATGTTTGTTATATGTGCATCCCGTTCAGACTTAACTCAAGTAAAGATCCTCTCGAGTCCTTACATATAAAACTGATCTTATTGGCGACCTCAATTTAGTTGTAAACAGGCCAAAAAAAATAAGAATCAATAAAACTCACTTAACAATCAACATATGATACTGTATGCAATCCTTCAACTTGATGGCAACCTCTTCCAATTCACTCTCTGAGTACATTTCGGACCCTATAACCCTCCCGCTTCTTTCCTCCCCCTCGGCATCAACCACTTCAGTCGCTGGTCGTGGAAAGTGGTCCAGGTTGTAAATAAGTATTTTAAAATGCCCCCAAAGATTGAAGATCATCAGACAGAGGAACAGGTCGAACATGGATACGCTGCTGCCACACAATACTGTGCCGTACCTTCAATGGCGACGGATGGAGTAAAGGATTAGACGAGCTTCTTTATAAATATGAAAAAATAGAATACCGAGAAATGTATTTTCTACTAATACCTTCTAAGTTCTTAACTGTCGATAACAAATGTTGAAAGTAATAATCCTAAAGATACATCTTACTGGCTTTAACCAACCCGTATCACCCGTATCACCCGTATCAACCCCTGACCCGTAACCCCGGTCAAGTTATTTATTATTATTTACTGACCCACTATTAGTAAATGAATTCCCGTATTATCGCTAAGGTAAAGTAGACAAGTTACTAGGGCGCCAGGCTACAGAGGGCAGCCACAATACCGCGAGACACGCGTGCCCACTGCCCATAGAGTGACAAAAAACTAGGAGAGAGTGACTAAACAAAAAACGGTACCAAAAAAATAGGGACAGCTATGAGGTGCTTGCCTAGGAGGCTCTATAGGTTTAATGCCAATCTGGTACTACCAAGACTTCAGAAAAAAAAGGAGGTAATAAATATTTACCAGCCACTGAGAGTTGCAACAAGATATCCCTTGAAATTAGTTTCAAAGTTCCACGGATATAAACATGAAATAGCTTGTTCATACGTTTTATTTTGTAAGTTATCGAACGAGGCGAAGTTTCCGGCAGCGTAGTTGTTGTACATGGGTATCAGATTGAACAGACAGGCCGCTATGGAGAGCATTATACTCACGTAAATAGCTGCGAAATATGATATCCTGTGCACTGTTACATGTATCTGAAATTAGGGATAATGGGGTAGTTGCCAGTGTAAGAAAATTAAAAATGTAATTAGTGCGTCAGTTAAATAATGAAAAAATATTCTCGTATAAAGAAAGTTACAATACTTAGATAAAATGGCGTTAAGTTTAGGAGTGGGAGAGGTCGTTACGTCACAACGTGCTACAAAACGGAGCACGCTGTGACGTCACACGACATTTCAAATTATTATACCGTCGAAAGTATATACTTTTGTGAGAAAAGAAAAAATACGTGTCTAGGAAACTACACTTTTTTTTTTAAGGGGGGAAAATCATCGAATGACTTCTCCCGCCTGGGTGAGGCGGAAGGGAGTGTCAGACTCTTACTGACTAAAAACCACCCCGTTCCTTCTCCTGCACGTCGAGCCGGAGCCCCGGTTACCCGTTAGGTTCTCCGCGACTCCGAATCGGCATCGGCCCTATTGGGCCCCATCTGTGGTGGTCTGATGGCTCTTTGAGGCGCGCGCGGAACGCGACGCGCCGTACGCTCGGGTCTGTTTCAGGTCGGACGGGGAGCCACCCATGCTCGCCGTCCGCAGGCCCGCGCTTACGGTGGCCGGAGATCGTCTCGCGATCCCCGACGCCCGGTGTGTCCTTCGCGATGGCTGGGTTGCGAGGAGGCAGCGCTTCGCTGCCTCACGCGTCCCGCCTCCTTAGCTAGCATGACTGCTTCGCAAAAGGAGGAGACGGCATCCCAATCCCCCTCGCTCCGCATCATGGCCTGCACTAGGCCCGGACGTGAGAGGTCGCCATCGCCGATCACTTCCCTGAGGGCACGGCGGTGCTCAGCCCACGCAGGGCATTCTCCCACTGTGTGTTCCACCGTGTCCTCAGGGCGGTCCTCGCAGTGATGACACCCGGGCGTTTCCTCCCGCTCCATCAGACACAGGTACCTCCCGAAACTTCCATGTCCGGTGAGGACCTGCGTCAGGCGGTAGGTGAGGACGCCGTAGCGTCTCTCAAGCCACTCCTCAAAGAGGGCACTTACCGCTGCAATGGCAGCGAGCCCAGCCCCCGGTTGCGACAGTCGTTGCTGCCATTCCGCCATGAGATCGCGCCGGAGCTCATCCCGCCACGCACTTATCTGGCGCGGCAGCGGAGTTTCGCCCCGGCGACGTGCCTCCGCGCGCATGTTATACACGCGCGCGAGCACCTTCGCCTCCAGATCCCACGGCGGTACGGTAATCCGGCAAGGAGGTTCGCCGACTCCCCAGAGATCGTGCGGTATCCGCGAGGAAACTACCCTATTGGTCATTCTATCATTGCACTACGTTCTCTAACGTTTTGTAAATAAATCAAATAGGAAAATTCGTGATCTAATTAACTTTTAGAGCACCAATACTGTGTACTTGTACTACTTACGCTCATAGCATAGTCAGATTTGTCCTTGAAATAAAACAGATGAACTTTTTGTATGAATATCTTTGCTACAGTTCGGTACTTTTCCGATAAGCACAGGGTAAATGCTCGCGACTGGAACAAGCAAGAACATTGTTAACCCTCTTAGAAGTTAGAAGCTAAAGTACGTTTATTAAAAAAGTGCTAAATATTTTAAATCCCATGTCGTCAAATATTATTTAGTAAATCTACTTTGAATCAAAGAAGCTACAAATGTATAAACGTGAACACAGAGAAAACCAGATAGATGTTCTTTAACCGTCATATATATCACTTATATCTAAGTAAATGATTTTCTGCCTCGCACAACAGTGGAATGAACCATCGCCGCCGATATTTCCAAACCGATACGACCTTTAAACAAGAAAAGAGTGTATTTTTTTAAAGGCCGGCAATGCCAACTTGTCTGTGGTATAGCGGGTGTCTATGGCCCGCGCTGATCGCTTACCGTCAGGTGTTCCAACTGCTCGTTTGTCCCTATTCCATAGAGTTAAGTACAAGTTTATTTTACGTTTAACGCGTTCGGCACTCTGATTGGCCGGCTCCAATTACACAAACTTGAAACAAGCCCTCAGAATAAAAATAACTATAAAACTCACGGTAGACAACATATTCATAAGTAACACTATATACAGTTGTCCAAGTTCCAAAAACCCGAATCTATGAGCATTCTTCTTCAAATAAGCTATGCCTAAGGCCAAATATATTAGTGAAAGTATAGTATTGTAGTACGCATGGCCCATGCCTTCGATCTTTAGGGTTTTCTCGCCGAGGGCCTTTCCTGGCCAACCACTTATAATGCGGAGCACAAAACGCAGTACTTTCATATATTTGTAGTCCATAGGACCGCTGATACCTCTGGAAAAGTTTAAAACAGTAGTAGTTAATAGTTGAAGTATTAAATGAAGTAAATTATTATAGTAATAAGATTCAGTGCCTCGCTGGGCGATTAGTCGCAAGTGCAAGGGGTATCAGGTTCGATTCCCGGGTCAGGCAAAATATTAATGTTTTTTTTTTTAATATCAGTAGTAGCAAGTCTGGATTTGAGCCCGGTATATGGCAATAGGCTCACTCCCTATTACTTGGGACTCATAATATAAACAGTGAAAAGTGGGTGTTACATTGTACTGTGGCATTAAGTGCCGTAATGTGCACCACTGCGTAGCCCTTCGGGGATAAAAAGGCCTGATGTTATATTATGTTATATAATAACATTCAGAATATGAATAAAAATCATATTTAATTCAAAGGTTGAACCTGGATATATTTTCGCCGTAGTAAATTCATATTCATATCAACTTTACAATATAAATATAATGTACTTACACAACAGCGTCTCCCGCATACGTATCCAAGTTAAACATTTTTACTTATTTGTAAGACGAGCAACAATAACAATTGACCAGTACAAAGTTAACTGTAGAAATACATTCTATACAATAATGTATCAAATTAATATCTATCTATCTATCTATATTTCTTTCCTTGAAACGGTGGCAATTGATTCCTATTAAATACGTAATATCTTAATATTATATTCTCTTTCATAAACTTATTGATAGGTGTGAAAGTATTGCAAAGTATATCGTTATCTGACATGCAAGTGAAGTGTAAATTATTGTTCAAGGACCATGTTTTATATTAAAACTAGCTTTTGTACGCGACTTCGTCTGCGCAATCCTGCTTTCCCATTCCCGTTCGGGGTTTTCAGTAAAGTATTGAATAAAAATACTATGTCTGTTTCCTGGTTCTAAGCTACCTCCTTACCGATTTTCATCCAAATCGATTAAGCCGTTCTTGAGTTATAAATAGCGTAACTAACACCACTTTCTCTTCCATATATAGATTTATTGACCTCGAAAAGTACCAAATTACGGTTTAATTAAAATAAATGCTGACTTTGAATGAAAAAAAACACTAGAATGAGTAATAAAAATGTATATTTACAAATACATACAGTATCATTTCTTTTTAGACTTTTTACTGCTCTTAGCCGGAGTCTCTTCTTTGCGTTTTTTCTGTTCTTTCTCCGTTTCTGTCTTGGTATCTTCAACTTCCATGGTGTCGACACTGAACCCTGGAATATGTGGCTTCACCAGCTCGAAAACCAGTTTTCTATGTTGAAGATTGCTACTGTCCAGGCTAAGACGAACCGTGAGTTCATCAAATGTCTTCAGTACTATGTCTCCGCATGTCTGGATGTGTTCCTGTTGAAGAAATATGTGTTAAATTAGGTTTACAGGAGGAACGTTTTTATTTGCATCGATTTTTAAAAATACATAGTCTTATTACTGTCCTTTATTTATCCTTTTTTATTATTAGCGGACCCGAAAGACGTTGTCCTGCATATAACATAAAAATAATAATAAGTAATAATAGGTAAATAACGTAGATCTGCCGGACTGATTTGTGAATCTAAACCATTCCCAGATCCCCTTGAACACACACAAAAAATTTCATCATAATCGGTCCAGTCGTTTGAGAGAAGTTCAGTGACATACACACTCACAGAAGAATTATATATATAAAAAGATGAGCATACAATTTGGATCTATGCCAATAGAAGGACAAATACACAGTGGATGATAAACTTACTTTAGCAGTAATATTAATCTCTTTTTTCATGTAACATTTGATATCCTCTTACCTCTTCATTATATGTGAACTTATCAGAAGGCAGGTATAAAGGCCCCTCGAGCCCATACTTCGGTATAAGCACGTGCACCGCGTTCCGTTTCACGGCGAGTACACTTGCCAACTCTACCTCCACGCGTTTGTTGAATAGGATCTGCACAAAGAATTAAACATCTCATATTAATAATTATTTAACATAGCTAACTGACTATTGCGCAACTGGTGCGCAACTAATGCGCAATATTGCGCAAACTATAACTGTGTATTATAAACACTGAGTTCTTCATCAATTTAAAACCTGGTATCAATTGCGATGTTAGGATCGATAATTAATAGTAATAATACTTTTCGAAGTAATCTAGAATTATATAAAAATATTTTTGACTACAAGGAACCAGAAAAATATCGCTCCTTTCACAACTCCTGTCAAATATTCTCCAAAATCTCTGAGAGGACACCGGTCTCCATTCTTTTCTACTCCATTATAGACTTTATTTTCGATTTTTAAATACTACTCCTGTATGAACAAATTTTAATATTAAAAATGAACAATATAGTATATTATACGTACATGTGTGTTCATAGTAACAGAAGCCCGTCCAGCGTACTGCGCCTGCCGGTGTCGGTAGTTGAGGTTGTCGCAGAGGGCGGCGGCCAGCTTCGTGTCCAGCAGCGCGGCGTGCGTCACGTCGCAGCCCACGCTGGCCGCCAACAGGCGGTGCACTATCACGTCCGCGTAACTGGGGGGGACAATATTTATCAATTAATAATAATTGTCCATGCATTTAGGTTAAAGTTGTCTAAAGGGCTTCTGCGCAGTTGGCTTCAGCCCGTCGTACGCCTTCCAAATGACCGAAACCCTGTGGTCCCGTGAATGGTAAACACACACATAATTATAACATATTTTCTTGAGAAAAAAATGATTTTTAATTGGGATAAAATGATGAAAGATAGTCACATTTTCATTTATTATTTTTACGATATAATTGTACTCAATTTTCGTATTATGCTTTTTAAGAAATAAGTATGCCATTTTGGCCTTCCTCGCAGCCCCAAAATCCAAGTAGTTCTTGAAAATGCATGTAGATTGCGTAATTGCTTATACGAATTACGACAGTAGGAAAAGCCCTGGTACATTGTGACACAAAATGTGTATACTCTAAAATCCTTACTAATATTATAAATCGGAAAGTGAGTTTGTTTGAATGTTTGTTTGTTCCACTTTCACGCCGTAACTACTAAACCGATTGCTTTGAAATTTTACAGAGGTAAAGTTAGAAGTCTGGATTAAATAATAGGGTACTTTTTATCTCGGAAAAATTTGATATTCCCGAGGGAAAACAAAAGTATTGGTATAGATGGCGCTGTGTGTATTGGTATATGTCACATAGGCTACTTTTTCTCCTTTTGTGACGCGAGCGAAGCCGCGGGTAAAAGCTAGTAAATAAAGTATAAAGTACAAACGTCTTCCGAGTACTTACCGTCTGATGGGCGACGTGAAATGTGTGTAAATAGGACAGGCGAGACCATAATGGTAGTACTCCTCGACAGTCTTGCTCCCGCTGGAGAAGTATTGCGCTTGTTGCATACAACGCGTCGCCATGATGCGCAGTAGTGTGTTGAAGAACGGACGGCCTGGGATCACTGCCGAGTCCAGGGATTTGGAGAATGCCTTGTTCGTCGATACATCCAGATCAAAGCCCTAAAAAAATATATTAAGAACTGAGTTTACATACTTTTTTTTAAGGGGGGATAATCATCGAATGATTTCTTTCGCCTGGGTGAGGCGGGAGGGAGCGTCAAACTCTTTACTGACTAAAAGCCACCTAGTCCTGCACTTCGAGCCGGAGCCCCGGTAACCCGTTAAGTTCTCCGCGGCTGCGTTTACATAGCTTAGCGATGCTTTTTAAGACTAGATACGTAAGTAAATAAAAATGTTATAACTACTTATAAAAGATTAAATATATTACGAAACTTATTTTTTTGCAATATAGTTAAAAATCGATTAATGCAATTTACGACTTAACGACCGACATTTGTGATATTGAGATTGTCAATACTTCTAAAGTAAACCATGATTGATAGAACTTCACGTTAACATTAATTATGATTTGTTTGGAATCATCAATCAGTACGGAACAACAACAGCGCATTCACAGTGCGTTGTTGCACGCACTATGCAAATCGAATCGAATCGAGTTACTATAAACGCGATCGAATTTGTGAAAAATCTCGCACTATAGTCAGAATTTTAATTAGATTCCAGATTTGACAATACCTACTGCCATTTTGTGAAATAATGATACCACATTTAATAGTGTAGTGATGCACACAAAATCGATAAACAATCAGTGTGTGTGTTTTATAATAAATGTTACAGAAAGTGACAGGATAGCGATAGCGATGATGGCGACAATTTATAAAATAACTTATTGCCATAATACATCTATCTGTTTTATTTGTCATGTTCCTTCATGATTACATTTTTTTATTTATTTCACACATAATTATAAAAGAAAAGTCTCAGATCGTTAATTAATCGTCAAAACTAAATTATCGGTTCAGAAATATTGAATTTCCTGATATACTTAGTTTACGAGAGTAAAATTATAAACGAGAAGAATCGATCCAGAAGTATTGCATTTCCATATCGAATAATTTCGCAACGTCACTATTTAGTACTTGTCATAACGTTGCAACACTGAAATTGTCAAATCTGTAATCGAATTAAAATTCCGAGTATAGGTACAAAAAACAGAAAACGAAATCTGCCGGTCACCTGTTGTTTAGCAGCCTTCAAGAAAGTATGGAAGTTGGCGGGCGGCGGCGCGGGGTGTCGCCGCAGTAGCGCGCACTGCGGGAACTCCGCCGCCAGCCGCTGCGCCACGCTTATGTTGCCCAGCAACATGAACTCTTCCACCATCGAGTTTGTGTCCAGAATCTTCTTCGCTTGTACTTCCACGGGATCGTGTGTTTCTGAGTCGATCTGGTAAATTGATAATGTGGTGGTTAGACGACGTATGTTATTAATAAATCGTCTGAATCTTCTTATAAGAAAGAAACGATCATTATATCAAGAGACAGACAAGTAATTATAACAGACTTTTGTACGAGTATGATTGAGTGGTAAATAATCAGTTGGCTCACCTAATGGTCAATGGAACCAATTAAAATTTCAATGAAATGTTGTAAAAAAAAATGTAAGAAACAAATAAGTTCTATAATTATATAATGTTTAACGACTCACTCCCGTAACCACTTGACTAGGAGTTTAACAAGTTTCAAGTCACTCAAAGGGCTCATATTCATGCGCTATATACGAGTATGTTTGACGACGAATTCCACTATTAAATATCGTTTCGATTTTTTCTGTCAATCATAAATCTAGTTAGCTTACCTGAAACCTGATTTCAGGTGAGGATAGCGACAAGGCTCCGTTGTCAAGACGTTTTTTATTGAGTTTCTTGGCGAGTGCGTTCAATATCCTGAGAGAAGACACGATGGCGTCATTCCGTGACTTGTCATCTATCGCTATTTGAGCTTCCTCGTATGTCATCGCTGCTGCTGACTGAAATTACAGGAAAATAGATTACAGTTTGTAGAGGTTTTATTCGTGGTGGCCCAGAGGTTAAGACGCCCAGTTCTCATGCATGAGGTTGCGGGTTCGAAACCTACCAACGGAAAATACCAATGTGACTTTTTCCGAGTTATATGTACCTTTTTAAGTTTATTTAGACACCACTGACAAACAGTGAAGGAAAAATATCGTGAGGAAACCTGAACTTATAATTTCTAATTATAAGTTTGAAATCACCAACCCGCATTGAGCAAGCGTGGTGATTAATGCTCTAACCTTCTCTGTGTAAGAAGAGGCTTTGCTCAGCAGTGGGCATTTATAGGCTGTTGATGAGATGATGAGAGGTTTTAGTGTAAACATCATCATGTCCCTGCTTTGAACTGGTACATAGAAATTCACTTAATGCGCCCTATAACGAATGTTAATAGTTTCCACTCATTACCGAGAACTATGGTGTTAAAACTTGTAGGTAATTAGTATTTTTAGTTTTCGTGGGTTTGTGTAGGATGTGTGTGTGTGTGTGATTCAAACTATGAAGCCCTTGGTGTTAAAGATTGAACTGTTTACTTAGTTTTGTTAACTCAAAAATGGGATGATGACATGATATGAAAATTAAAAATGTAATTAGTCCGTCAGTTAGGTAATGAAAAAATATTAGTCACGTATTTTTATATTTTGTTATAGAATAAAATGATATTAAGATATAACGAATTAAAGTTTAGGAGTGGGGGCTAAACGTCATTTCTACGTATAAAATGTACATAGAAGTGACGTCACGCGACATTTCAAATCAATATATCTTCGAAACTATTCATTGCCGTAAAAAAAATACGTGTCTAATGTTTTTAAATAATCTACCAGACGGACATTAAAGTAAAAATTAGTCGTCTAACCTAACCAGGACATACTTTTCCCTATAGATTTTAAAAGTTCATGCACACTATTTTCAGATTCACAAAATATAGAATTTTACTTACTTTTATGACACTTTTATGAAACTTGGTATGTAGAATATTGGCATTCTCGTCTACTTCCCAGACGCAAGAGAAAGCCAGACGCTCCTCGCCGCCTCGTAACGAACATAAGTTTGAACTTAGCAAATCTGAAATAGAGATGAAAAGTAAAATTAGTCATAGTCAAAGCATTTATTTCAATTAAACCATAGTTTGGTACTTTTGAAACGTCAACAAATACGTGCTCATGCCAAAATGTACATATGTATTACTGTTACCGTGAAAGTATATTGCCAATTGAACAATAGTATGCACGGCAAAAGATATTATTATAATAATATAGTTAATAGGCTAGCTTATAGCTGTAAAACAAATACTAATATGGTACTCATTTTAAGTTGTTCTTGAATATCGTGCTGTCTGTCATTTTGTCAATTGTCTATCGGCGTGGAAGAATGAGAGGCGTTTAAGTATATAACTATAACTTTAACGTTTATACTGATTTCGATGACAAAAGAATATAACTTTTTAGATAAACTAAAACTTAGAAGAGAAGAATTGACTACACGGTTGGTGCGGTGGCTGGGCAACCGGCTGCCGTGCAACGTGTCGCGGGTTCGATTCCCGCACGGGACAACATTTTGTGTGATCCACAAATTGTTGTTTCGGGTCTGGGTGTCATTGTGTGTGTGAAATTGTATGTTTGTAAACGCACCCACGACACAGGAGAAAATCCTAGTGTGGGGTAATGTTTTTAAAAAAAAAAATTTCGGATGAACTAAAAGTTAGTAAAACAAAACAATAATAAACAATACAAACCTGGCACCATATCAATCCTGCGTCCAACAAGATAGACAGTCGTAGATCTGTTAGCAGCTTCCTTGTCTAGCGCGGTGTTAGGTCGGACGAAATGGGTGACGTCAGCAATATGGACGCCGACCTCGTACCGTTTGAGTCCGTCGTCCGTGAGGCCGGGCAGGGCCTTCGCGTGCAGCGCGTCGTCTATGTCCGTACAGCCGGGCGGGTCCACTGAACAAATGCATTCCGACCGCAGATCGACGCGCTTTTTAATTTCCTGTGAATATGAATGATGAAATTTAGTTTTCTTATTTTGTTTTTATGGGTTGTGATTGTGTGTCATATGCTGGAATACTGAAACGTCACTTAATTTTAAGACGTGCTTAAATATCATGCTGTCTCTGTCATTTTACAAAGAATTTGTAGAGACAGAACTATGCTTAAGCGCGACTTAAAATTGAGTAAGGTTTCAGTATTCGGGCATTAGTGTTTCTAATGACCGTTTTCCCATCCATCTCTAAACCATATGGAGAGAGAGATGGAGCACCTAAGCTAACCTCTTTTCTTTACTTTTAAGAGTCACTTATAACTTAATTTATAAAAATGAAACCCGTTTCCCGTTGTCACGCCATATCTTGAGAACGGCTAGATCAATTTGCCTGATTTTTTTTATTGTGTTTGTTATTGTCAGGAGAATGTTCTTATGACAGAAAAAATCCTGAAAATCCTACGGGAACGGGAGAAAACGGGATTGCGCGTACGAAGTCGCGGGCAGAAGCTAGTAAGTTAATGAAAAGCAAAATATCGTCGAGTGTCACCTATTAGCTTAGCTAACGTGTTATAATTACGATTTTTATGCCAATTGAATTAAAAATCGTACCTCCTCAGGGATAGTCCAGTCGTTGGGTGGTAGACAAGCCAGCACAGCTTCACTGAACCTTGCGTGAGGCACATCGTGTTCTAACAATATCACCTCGTTCTCAGCGTTCTTATCACCTGAAAATAAGAGTCATATTAGGCTGGCAATTATCTGAGTTTTTACTTTATGAATATTATGTTGGTATTTGCAATAGGGTAGTTTCCAACCAGTCAAATTCAATACTATTATAGAAGAACGATAAAACAAAAACGATACTTTTCTATGATTTTTGTATCGAGATCACGAATTTTTGCGTTAAATATCAGATTTATTTGTAGAAAAACTAGCTAGAAAAAAACTGTTAGTAAATACATCATCGGACCAAGTAATTCAAGAAAGTGTGAATTTTTAAACATTTTACTGATTTGAACAATCAAAATAATTTATTTTTGACCTAACTATCCAATTTGGGATCTTTAAACCCAATTCGATTTGTAATTTGTAATGTGACATCTCTAAAAAACTATATATACACTTCTTTGAATATCTATAAGATGCAATGCAACTCACCAATTTGTCCGAGAGCTCTGACAAAGTGTCCGAGTGGGTAGCGACTGTTCCTAGGCCAAGAGTCGAGCGCGACCAGTATGCGTTGACTGGCCAACACATCGCTCTGACGTGTCTCTATACGGACGCGGGGTATACGTTTCTCAGCTGGTACGAATAAGTGGCGAGTGGCTCCTGGAATGCAAAATTGAATTTAGAACTGTAAAATGTAACTGGCACGTAAGAAATTTGAAAATTGGAATATCTAGATCTTTTTTTCTTTTGAGACAAAAGACGTCCAGTCACTTGTACCGCCTTGGCTGAGGCGAGAAGTAGTGTTAGACTCTTACTGACTAAAAACTACCGGACTCTACTACCGGAGGTCCGGTAAGATAAGAGAAAGTCTTATTCGATATTTAAAATTTCGAAATTCGACTTTCGTAAGCATGGCCCGGCTACGGCAATAGACCTAAATAAATATTATAAAAAAAAGTATAGTTATTGCTTTGAATTATAAATATTTATATCACCAAACCAATACAAAACAAACTGTTTATGTTTCTTAAATTAAATAAACAACTGAAAAGGTTCAAGACAACTGATTCAGACAGTCATAACAGATAGATATAATTAAGTACCTGGAAACTTGCTCCTCATTAATATACCACAGTACTGCCTCCATTTCCTCCTTATGATCCCAACAACCCTGCCAGTTGGTGTGATTTCATCATCGCCTTTCTCAACGGGCTTCGTATTCTTTAGTAAAACTGCTTCTTCTTCCAATTGGTCACCAGGATCATCATCAGCCTTATCTTCTAGAACAATGTCCATTGGACGTCTCCATTCTTCTTCAGGGAATATTTCTATGGCTATGGAGTCTCCATCAACTGCCCTGTTTATACCACTGTGTCCTTGTAATAAGATCTGTGAATACAAAATATACAATCTTAAAATATTATTTATTGTACCTTAATATTATTATCATTATTTTAATCCATACATCCCCGTTCTCTACTAACTACATTATAGACCTTATTTCCAATGTTTGAAGACTACTTTTGTATGAACAAGTTTAGGGGATGAATTTCAACGGGTTAACTTAATTTATAAATTAATGTTTTATGGAACTGAATATTTTGGGGTTTGAGTGACAAACAAAATAGTGAAGTTTACATTAGTTACTTAATCAATTACTTGCAATACTACGTGATATTGTAGAAGCGTAATCGTAGTAGTAAGACTGATTGCGAATGATTTAGTAGTAGTACTATATCACTTTACAAATAAAATACTTACAGGTTTCTCAAATCCATTGATAACAGCAGTGCCTTCCAAGAAATTATCCCGAGAAGCTCTGAAAGTACCTTGATGAAGTTTCCCACCCCTTATACCTTCATGGATCTGAGCCGGAGTCAAATGTGCAGGGTATAGAGCATCCTTTGAACATGCCTCTGGTGCCACATTCTTTGACAGTTTGTCTAGAAGGCCTATGAAGCCAGTCACATTTTCAACGTAATCCTTGACTGTAATTAAAATTGGGTAGAATTAGACTCGATTCATGACAAGACCAAAGTTAAACCAACAACAAGCGTATGACCATATCTATCTGCACAAAATTATTGCATTATTTTTTCAATTATATAGGTATAGTTATAGGTATATGGCAATATGCTCACCCCCTATTACATGGGACTCATAAAATAAATAGTGAAAAGTGGGTGTTACATTGTACAGTGGCATTAAGTGTCGAAATGCGCACCTCTGCCTACAAAAAGGCCTAATAAAAAGGCGTGATGTTATGTTATGTTATTTTTTCATTTATTTTTATCGCAAATATTGGATTACTGGTGAATAATGGCTATCAGACTAGCCTTTGAGAATTTACCTCAGTTGTTATATTAACATTTTTATTTTACTCGTGATTGTAAGTCATTTACTAATGATAAATTAATATGACAAGTGACAATACGACAGATTGTGGATGACACAGAGTTAGTAAACTTTTTTTACACAGATGTACAGCATACTAAGGACCTGTTTCACATTGTCTACATAGCTGCTATGTACTACAAAAATTCAAATGTAGAACATTATTTGTATGAAATATCTGTCATGTAAGTATATCAAGTACATAAGGTAGGTAAAACATAAAAAAAAATTTAAAAGCTTGTTTAATGGGACAAGCAAGATTTACAGTAGACACAACTATGAAAACACCAGAACACTGAAGTCCGGCGCGTCCAGGGATAAGAGTAACTATATTGGTTCCCGCAACGAAATGAATCAGAAGATATTATAAGAGAAGAAAAAAATTATAATTTCCACTTCCCTCAGTGAATTGCTGCAGGAGACAATCAATTAAGCCTAAAGGCTTGACAGAATGTCTTAAGCTTAATTTTAAAAACTTACTAGAACAACAGACTATGCCTTCTTCCTGAGCAATCTTCCTGTTGTTCTCATCATCAGTGAGTAACACAATCTTAGGGAACTGTCCCACAACGCTGTTGATACTCAAATGTGTCTCATACCAGACCGCTGCCTTACGGATTGCTCTGTCATTACGATCATTTTGTTTTTCACCTGGATTCCTTTCTATGTAGGTGTCCCTGCAAAATTTATTACACATATGTTACTAAAACAATACAGTGACATAGTTTTTAGATTAATTCGCTTTATGTATGTTCTATCAACTATTACTCAATATGTTTTCTTATAAAATTAATCTTACTTATGGTGCTCATTAACGAAGGAATAAAACTTTCTTTTCTTGTTAGCTATGATCTCCAACAGTCTCTGGTATATCGCAGTGTTTTGATGTTTCACTTCTTCCAACACAGTTTGCAGTATAATAACGTTTGATAATGCGTCTTCTTCCAGAACGTCGATCTGATGAAGCACTACATTCGTGTCGAGGATCAGGTAGTGAGGATATGAGAACAATGTGCATATTGACTTCGGTTTACCGTCTAACACAAACTCGTCATCTTTATGAGGACACGTGTTACACGCAGCAGATCCACACAGCAAATCATCTCGTAAATAATGTTCTCTTACAATCTGTAACACATTCATTCAGTTAATGCCAACAAAACAATAATAAGAACATAGGTTGGAAAACATAACCTTACTTTTATTATATTGCCGCGCTTTGTTTTGGTTAGAAATGTTTTAGTGGTCCACATCGTACAAAATAATTATAACGCTGTTATAATTATTTTAGAAGATGATTATCACTTATCTAGGATATTTTTGCCAAGTTTTGTCCCGTACACAACTTTCATTGCTTGCCATAAACATAAAGTGACAATTAGTGACAAAACAAATGACAATGACATTGACAATATGACATGACATCACATAACAATGACACTTGACACTATGGAAAGTTTATTAATTTTCTTTTTCCTAATTTTAGTGTAGGTATCTTAAGTTGTACGTATATTTAGTGTTTTCTTTTCCTTCAACCATTTAAACTACAACACCTTGTACCTAATACTAAAATACTAAAAAAAGATTCAGAATTTTGCAAAGTAACAGTGCGAGTGTAACAGATTATAAAAAATTACTAAATTTTTTTTTAATTTTATATTTCAGGCTTCATTTTATATTATTTCTAGAGCAATGCGAAGGTATTGCTCTAATAATAAATTATTGTAATCGAGGATGTAAAAAAAGAAAAATGAAGAGTTTTATACGCAATAAACTGACGTTTGAATAAATATGGTAAAGCCAGGAAAGCCTACTGCAAAATTATGAGCCGTTTCTACAAAAAAGGCTTACCACCGTAACCTCCACTCATGAAAAGCGTGCTAGAATAGATATCAATAGGATATAATAGAATTTAATTTTATAAACAAGTAAGTATTTGTTGAATAAATTATGAAAGTTATTACATATTTTTGAGAATTTTCAAAACGACAAACTAGCAAAGACTGAAATCAGAAGAATGTACAACTTTTAAGGTAGATTTGTTTCCAAATACTCATCATCCATGTAGTCGATAATACCAAAAGAACTGCAACGGAAATGCATCTTATGCATCTGTTCTGTAGCGTCATTGGCGGGAAAATTTGTTCATAAAATGTCATGAAACGAAAATGACGGACCGATGGCAGTGGCACAATAGTGTCGTAGTAAACTCGGCAAATGAATGCGTTTGATTGTTATTATTTGATTTTATAATCATACAACAGCTACACAGTGAACACAGAGTTATCTACATTCTACAATAGATACTGTTATGTTGTGATAATAGCTAAACATGAAACGGGTTACCTACATTTTATTATTTGTTTAAATTCGTGGTACGTACAACTACAATAATAAATACAACAAATACTTACCAATATACAATATATTATAAGTTTTGTTTATGAATGAATTGCCGGTTAGTCACGACTGACGATTATTATGCATATATGCAAAATAATTGCTTAAAAATTAGCTGTGAATGATTCACTTTGATAAGGAAGCGTTAAATGTTGTGTTTATTATAGCTACTGGATATCAGTCTGTAGGCTACCTACACTTTAGTCAAAGTAGTGGCATTATCAAATAAAAAAATTGGATAATTGCGTCTCTCGACGCGACGCGTAGCCGCAGATAAATATATCAGTCGAGTTGTGAGCGGCGGACGGTCGCCGTCTGCGTGCGTACACATGTATCGCTCGAACTCCGTTCCTTGCGATATTTTAAAATAGAACTACGTACATGTAGTGTTTGAATAACCGCGCAATAATTGAGAACAAAAATACACAAACCAGTGAAAGTATTAAAAACAATAAATGAAAAGTTATCTTATTTAAAAAAAGGTGTTAAATTCAAAAACATGCCTAAAGACAAAAGTTTTAGCTCTCCCCAAAAACTATGGGAATCTGTGTCTTCTAAATCTGTTCACATAGTTGAAGGATTGTTTTTCAAACTTGGAGTGGCTGTGGCAAGACATCCATGGAAGACTGTAATTTTAACATTCAGTTTTGTGTTCCTGAGCTGTATTGGACTCCTCAGATTTCATATTGAAAAGAATCCTATGAATTTATGGGTACCACCAGAGTCAGATTTTTATTATGACACAAACTGGTATATTGACACATTTGGTACCGGGTTCAGACTGCAAAAAGTAATTATCTCAGCAGATAATGTGCTTGAACCTGAAGTTTTATCTGCAGTCAATAATATCACAAAGAAAATTAATTCAATACAAGTAAAATATAAAAATGAAGCATATTCTTTGAAAGAATTGTGTTATAAAGTCCCTATTGTGAATTTTTATAATGCTGGTCGAGATAAAAGGTCCTTGGATATGTTACCTGACAACAGTGCTCATTCAAATACAAGTGCTAGTGGTGACAGTGATTTTTCAGATCCCACTCTTTGGGTTAATGATGAATTTTATTGTGATTTCTTAGAAAGTTTTCAATTTACATGTTATAGACTCAATATTTTGGATTTGTGGAAAAATAATGAAGAGGAAATTAATCAAGCTACTAAACATGACATTGTTGAAAAGATAAACAAGATCAAAGTGAATCCAACAAGTGGTCACCCTTATGACTACACTAAACTTTTTGGTGCTATGAAATATGATGAACATGGTGATATTATTTCTGCTGGGTCTATAATGTTGACCTGGTTTACTCAAGTAAATATGACTAGTATTGATGTTAATGAGGTGGGTAATTTAGTTGGTACCGAAGATTGGGTATCTATTCCACTAGCTATGTGGGAAAGTAAATTTTTAGATTTAATGGAGTCAATTTCTCATAATGTGTCTGATATTAAATTATACTATGAGGCTGGCAGGAGTTTTGCAGATATTAGTGGCAAAGCCATGTTTGATGAATTAGATAAACTCTTTTTAGGAATACTTTTAATGTTTTTGTACATCCAGTTTGCATTATCACGTTTTAACTGGTTAGAAATTAAGCTGACATTGGGTAGTGTAGGCCTTTTGTGTGTAGGTTTAGCCTACATAACTGCTGTAAGTTGGTGTTCTGTTCTTGGTATATCATTTGGTCCAATTCATTCATCTCTACCATTTCTTCTCATGGGTCTTGGAATAGACGATATGTTTGTGATGAATGCTTGCTGGAATAATTTGCCAGAATCAGCAGCTAAAAAAACATTACCTGTTAAAGTTGGCCTTATGTTGAAACACGCCGGCGTATCTATTGTAATTACATCCTTTACGGACATAGTTGCTCTTCTTATTGGAGCTATTACGATCCTTCCGTCGTTAAAGTCCTTTTGTATTTATGCCGCTATGGGCGTATTTTTCATATTTTGTTTTTCAGTAACGTTTTATGTGGCGGTATTCACGCTAGATTTGAAAAGAATTGAAGATAATAGGAACGGAATCCTTTTCTGTTATCAACATAAAAAGCAAATAAGAATTTCAGACAGTAAAACCATATTTCAAACATTTCTAGAACACTTTTACAGACGAGTCGTATTTACAATACCCGGCAAAATTATAGTAATTTTATTCACGTTAGTTATTACTGGTTTTAGTATACAAGCTATTCTTCACTTGGAGCAAAGATTTGACCCGAAGTGGTTTATTCCTGACGACACGTATTATAAAGATTTTCTTAATGCTAACGAAGTTTACTATCCCGAAGAGGGAAATATGGCCATGGTATTTTAGGTGAAATGAACTATAACAAAGAATTCATAAAATACACGACATGATTCAAGAATTAAAAAAAGAGACTTACATTTATGATGTAAGTACTTGGGTTGAATATTTTCATCAATATGTTTTACAAAACTATAATCGCGATCTCGTAAAAAATGCTTCGGCGTTGACGGACCAAGAATTTAATAGACATTTGTCAAGATTTCTTTACAGCCCTATTGGTGGCAGATTTCAAGTTAATTTTAAATTCTCAGAACCGTTCGCATGTGGTATTCCAGCTACACAAATAAAAGCTTCAACGATGCTTTTTAATTTTGCTAAATTTAGAGGTCCTGAAGAGTATATACCTGCTATGAACCACGTAAGAAACATTGTCAAGACTACAAATGTAACAACTGGCGATGGGTATCGTAGTGTTTGGTCAAAAGTATTTGCAAATTGGGTCACTGATGAAATAATAGCAGTTGAAGTCGAAAGGAACATAGAGCTGGCTCTACTTTGTGTAATGCTTTGCACTGTTATTTTGATAACAAATCTGCAAATGTGTTTATGGATATTTGTTTGTGTTTTATTAACAATTCTCAATGTATTAGGTTGTATGCAAAGATGGGGTATGACTGTAGATATAGTGTGTTGCATAGGTCTCGAGCTCGCGACTGGTCTATGTGTGGATTATGCCGCTCACGTTGGACATACATTCTTAACATTGACAGAAGGCTCTAGTTCAGAAAGAGCTTTCAAAACAGTCACATCTATTGGATCTGCAGTAATGTTGGGCGGTGGCTCCACTTTCCTGTCACTATCTCTTCTTAGTATGTCCAAAGCGTATACTTTCCAATCCTTCTTTAAAATATTCCTTTTAGTTATATTGTTTGGATTGTTTAATGGTTTAATATTTTTACCAGTAGGTTTGTCATTAATAGGACCGGACGCGTACAAACCTAAGAAGCATAAAGTCGCAGCTGAAATGGTAGAGTTGAATGGAAATAATGGAACCATTGAAAAACAGTTAGAAGATGGATGAACTGGATTTGTTTCAGTAAATTAAGGATTTTAATACTTACACGTGATACTCAATACAGTCATATGTGATAACTAAGTATCTAATAAAATGTATTTGTGGATTGGTGTCCTATTGTAAACTGGAAAAGATACGTTGAAGTATCCATTCCAAAACTAGTAATTTTTAAATGAAACGAAAGAATTGCAAACACGTGAAATGCCCTCACGTGCTTGTCCTTCTCACAAATCGTGTCATACGAATGCGATATTATCTAAGTACGTATTTATATCGTTACGTAACGATGCAATGTGTATTCAACTGGTACAACTTAGAAAATAGTTTAAGTAGACATTCTGTATAAAATGTAGGCAATAAGTTCCTATTTTGTACGATATTTTAATTTCCAAGCGCCACTAAATATTGCCTTGATAAAATATTATTTGTCGTAAGTTTAAGTAAAAGTAATGAAACGAAAACTCATTCGAATCAAATGTAACTTTAAGTGCCTGGGTGTTAGTATACCTATTAGTTAAGGAGTAATG